CACATATTCCTGCCAGTTTTAATATCTATTTTGTAATCAACAAGTGTGTAACCCCGGTCAAAGTTTGACACTTCTCTGGCCATTATCTCCGTAACCGTTCAACTTTGGACATAGGTGTTTTGGGTTATATCGGCATACTTTAACATAAGGAACACCCTCCCGAAGTTTGGCACATTCCTCCTGGGACACCCTGTATATTATGTTTATATGTAAGAGTCTTCTAGGATATGGCACCGTGTAGATAGTGTGTTAACTGACTTTTCTGAGGAACATATCGCCACCGTCTTCAGGGTAGAAGAAAAAAGAAGAAAATCTGCAGGTGAGGAACCAGCGTGAGCAGGTGCAAATAGACTAATGTCGAGAACAAACCCAGCTGTATAATAGCAGGACGAGAAGGGAGAGGGGCTACATGGGAAATCAGGAGAGGGGAAGGGTCTGGGGAGGTGGGCCAGCAGGTAGCAGGCTAGAGCAGGTACAGAATATTGTGTCAGGGGAGAAAGGCGAGGTTAATGGGAGGGCATTAACCCTAAGTTTCGGGGTTGCTATGCATGTCGGGCAGGGACTTGTGCGGCCTTGTGGATCTGGTGTCGTGTCCCAGAGGTTTCTTGAGGGAACAGATGAGAGGCTTCCAAGACTTCCATGAAATAATATGGAGACCCTTAAGGGGGTCATTTCATCTGCTCTTACATCAGCTGTACCCTTGAAATATGTGGGTTGGAACTTTAATAGTGGCAACACTGCTGTAGAGACGCCATGCAATGGAACCAAATAATGTCGCTCATACCACACATTAGTTACATACCTACCTTACCTCAGAGCAAATGGTCTCTCCCTTCCCACATCACATGCATGCGCAGTGACAAGAACAGAGCCTCATGTTAGCTGGCGGTCTTATGTAGGGTTGTCACGATGTTTTCGAAACAGGAACAACAGAGTTGGATAAAGATTGAATGTGCCAGAGGCCGTACAGCACGATAGTGTTATCAAGGTCTTCAAGAGGCTTGCAGGGAATCTGCATTGCCTTAACAGTGGCAAGGTGGGTAAAAGCCTCAATGAGGGACGCCAAAATGTGGCAAACATGCATCGGCCAGGTCATCCTAGTGTCAGTGAAGAAGAGGTATATGCTCTTTCCATGTTACTGGAATGTGATTGACGCCATACGATTCATGAGCTGGCCCAAGAGACAAGATTAGCGCATACGACTGTGCTTCACATTCTGAAGGAACGCTTGGGCATGAGAAAAATTGCATCATGGATGGGTTCCACATGATTTGACAGAAATGGCTATGATACGATGCTGCTCGTAACCACTTGGAGCATTATGAGCATGAAGGAGAGGCTTTCTTACGCCATATCATTATGCTGGATGAGACATGGGCCAAATTGTACAAGCACAAATGAAATGCCAATCAAACGAATGGTGTCATTAGGGTTCACCACGAAAATCAAAAGTTTGTCAGAACCCCAGCAATGTGAAAGTTATTGTGATTTTTGTGTACGATTACGATGGTGTTATCCTAACACATACCATTCCTCGACAGCAAACTGTCAGTGCGCAGTATTACTGTTCATTTTTGGAACACAACCTGCGACCAGCTTTGGGAAAGAAGCGGCGACACTTTCTGCAGAACCCACCCGTCATTTTGCAGGACAATGCTCGGCCGCATGCAGTGCAAGCTGTGGCTTATTTGTTTGATTGATGGGGTTGGGAAGTGCTGCACCATCCACCATACTCCCCAGACTTGAGCCCTTGTGACTTTGACTTGATTCCTAAGATGAAGGAACCACTTTGTGGCATTCGCTTCAGAACTGTTCCAGAGATTCTTCAGGCAGTAGACCGCTCCATTCAAACTATCAACACAACAGGTGCTGCTAAAGGTATCCTACAACTTCCACATCGCTGGCAACGTGTTGTACACAATGCTGGTGACTACATTGAAGGACAGTAAAACTTTGAAACATGCATCTATTTTGTATCAGTTGTAAATAAATAGTTGCCACTATTAAAGTTCCAACCCTTGTAGATCACTTAAGAGCCACTGTTTCCTTCCTCTCTCTCTCTCTCTCTCTCTCTCTCCTGACTACCCTCTACTGCCTACTGTTTCACTCAGAGCCACTATTTCTCCCAGTGTCTGTTTTTTTGAAAATGGCCCTTTTAAGGGTCTCAGATTCTTTCCTCGTTCTTACTCCTGTTGGTTCATACTGGGTCCTGGCCCCCTCTTTGCTCTACTTTCCACACATGGCTTACTTGTTTATCATGAAGACAGGAAGCACATTCCTCCAGAATGTTAGTAAACATGTACCAGGCTACATGGTATCACATCCTGAAGACAGTAAGTACTCTTCATAGTCATCACCATGAGAATGTCAAATCTCAATTTGTACATTCCATGTACAATGAAAAATCGTTAGTGTTCTTGATTCTCAGATTATGTGTACATAAGCAGTGAATTTCCTTACATGAATCATGTTAATGTTTTTTTTTTTTCCAGGCGGATGCGTCGGTTGGCAAATACAACACCTGGCTGGTAAAGTAAGATGCCATGGCAACAGTATTTATTGTTTCTGTTCAAGATCTGTAAGAGTGTCATGATAAAATTTGGTAATACAGTTCTGTGTGTATTACTGAATTAAAATTTAAAGACAGTAGTTGTATAATTTAATCCTAATTAAAGATGAGAGTAAAAAAGTTCCTCTTTTAATTAGATTTTCAAGAAAAGGCGGCACAGAAACAGAAGCTTGTGCAACTTCTCCAATTTTTTATTCTGTAAACCTGATTGATTTCTTGACTCCTCTGTAAATATGTTACTTCTATTTGGAATCACTTTGACAGTGTCTTGGTATCTACTTCAAGGAGAGATGAAAATTAGTAATTAACTCATTCAGTCCATAGGGCAGATTCCTTTTTAAGAAACTGACAGTTGCTTGGCTAGTCAAGAAATTCCATCATGCCGTTTAAGGAACCCAAGGTTCATTATGTTTAAGAGGGATCCCCATTGGACCTTATCCTGAGGCAGTTCAGTTCAGTCTTGTACAGTTACATCCAGTTCTTTTTAACATTCATTTTAATACTATATCCTCCCACCTATATATAGGTCTCTTCCCTTCAAATAAAAGAAATGGTAAAATTATGGTTATATTAATCTGTAGCCTTTTCTTTACTCCCATTTTTTCTGCACTATTTGAGTCTTGCAGAACATCTGAGCAGCAGTGGATGTGAAGTGTTCTGTTATCTGGATTCTGACACTATGCAGTTTATCAACATTTTGACGGAATGTGGTGCCTCTATCTTTGGGTAGCCAGCTCTTTTTTACCCTGAAGATGGATGCAGCACATTCCATACTCTCTATATTGATGAGCCCAAGTAATTTCTTGTATATGCAGAGTTAGTCTTGAGGGTAGAATGAAATTGATCGAATTGATAGTTCCTGATATATGCTGCAGTCTGTTTCATTGTCCTTTTTACAAATATGTGCACAGCAGTAACTGCTTTTACTGCTGTGGCAGTTCTTCCTTATTCCACACAGGCTGAATAAGTTTGTAACTCCCAGAACACATTTTTTCATAAATTGCTCAGATAAATTCTGATGTAATTTAATCACTACCTAACAATTTGTACATTTTCAATGGATAGTAATTCTCTTCTTCTACCAAGTTTTTACATCTCTATATGTGTATAACGGTTTTGCACTTAACTGTTCGTTTCAAGCTTACTGGCTCTGTCTTTCATATACCCCTTCTATAATTTCTGAATTTGCTACTAGTCATGTACCAGTGCCGAGGTCAAGAAAATTTGGATCCGTATATCCACTCTTCTATAAATCTTCATGGTGTAGTGCTTAACTAGTTAAGCACAGGAACAACTTTACCTTTTATGTATCTGAGTTCAGATTATATGCATTCATTCAGCTAGGATTCTCCAGCAATTGAAACTTAACCCACTTCCTTCAATCTAATAATTAAGAACTTACTTTGCCAAAGCATAGTTTATTCTGCTTTAACTAATAACATTGTTTAATTTTATGAATTTAAATCTTTCCGTATCAAACTTTTGTTTTTCAGTTATTTACTGAAAGTAAACTGTTGAAACTCCCAGAAATATGCAAAAGTATATTTGAACCCTTCTCTCAAAAATCCAACTCGTATGCAGATTTGAATGCACTGAAAGGTCCAGTTTAAAATCTGGCAGTACCTTCTTATTCCTAGAAATTGTGTCAATGCATATCAAGAATGTGGATTCCTTTCAGTTTCAGCCTGCCTTTCGTAAGAAGTGTGACACTTTTTATTCACTGTCCCACTCTTTGACATTGCCATATTTCACAAATGTAATACATCCACTCCCCACATGCTTTCATGGCATAGTGCTTAATTAGTTAAGCAGAGAAACACCTTTACCTTTAAAGGGTTACTTCTGACTGCAGAGAGGTTCACTTTATTAAACTGTTGCACACACTGTCATGCTTAACACTGGAGCTGGAGGGAAAACATTTCAAAATGTAATGAAGGATTGTGGGGGGAGAGGAGGCATTTCACGCGTGGGGTTGTTGATGCTTGAAGAGACAACCATTTAGTAAACTTCTATAATGAATATACAGATGAATTTGTTACAACTAAAGCACACTCCCAATTTTCCAGTCTGTTGTAGCACTAACTTTGCTGACAAGTGGCAGTCGCTTGGTCAGTATAGTTCGCTTGCGGACTAAAACCACAAGAGTTTCTTTGTGTCTTCATTAGTCATTATTTAATAATGCTTCGGACAACGGAAATTCCTCTGGTTGGTCCACCCTATGTAACTTAGGCACTGACCGAGAAGGAATCACTGGTTTCTACAGTTCCATTAAATTTTCATACCAATCCATTTCTACTGAAAGCTGATTACTGAGCCATTGAATAGTAGCAGGTGGTTCCTAGACTGCGATTGACAACTAGCGTGTTTGAGGTATCCTGTCACCAATGGGCATTGGAGCTCCTGTGATCCGCACTCATCAGCCAGCACTTGATTCATTGTGGGTGGCTCCCACATTTTCTTGGCCTTGTAGAATGGACTGAACTTACCATTTTGAGACTGTTACAGTCCACATCACAAAATTAGCTGCTTCACAGTCATCCTACAAGTGCAATGCCATTGTCTTCAGTCTTCATGTGTATGATGCAGTGTTGTAAACTTCATTCTTGTAAGCATGTGTTGGGAGATGTCTGTCGTTATCCACACTGATAATATAGGAAGATATGATAAGATGGACAGAGAAGTTAGGAGAATATTTTATAAAGAAGTACTAGTGAGTCCATAAGTCTGAGGGACAGTGACTTGAAAGTAACAGCAGTAATGATGACTGGGAAGAAAAGCCTGGCTGAGACCAAAACTGTATGTATACAACATTACAGATTTTTGTATCAAGTATGGCTGTGTGCTTAGTGACTTCATGTAAAAGGGCCCATACGTTTATCAAACCTGAATTGACAGAAAAGATTGTTTTGAATGAAAATTACATTTAAGAGTAGATTAAATTAAGGAAGTTGCTTAGTACCACTAGTTCAGAATTCTTTGTCTTCCCATCTGCTGTCTTCAAATGATAGGACTGAAATACACAAAACCATAATTTCGATTAGTAAAAATATTATGTCTCTGGATATCCATCAGCCTGTTTTTATTTAAAAATAACATTTCAGAGACTGGATTATGTCTCCATTTTCAGGTAAAACATACTCAGTTGGGCCCAATCAATATAACTAGGCCCCTTCTCTGGAGATTGGTGTTGAGCTCATTTAAAAGCTGTAAGTGCCAGTGGGCGAACAGTATTAACATGGATATTAAAGCGATATAGAGGGTATGGGTTGGGTTAATTTAGATCATGATAGAAACCACTGTTGAGCTGTTGTGAACATGGCAATCTTAAGGCTCCATAAAAAGGAATTTCTTGGCTGAGTGACAGTTACCTTCTCAAGAAGAAATCTGTTCCACAGTTATACAATTCCGTACACAATACGCTCGCATCCATCCTCACCCTTTCCAACATTAACATTTGGGTGCCGCCTGGCCGGGCAAGCTAGGCGGTGACCCTGTCTGAATTTTGAGAAAAAAAGAAAATTATTTGAAGAACTTAAGGAAATATACCACATATTTATAATCGAACTAAAAGTTCTTTTAAAAGAACTGTTCTTATAGCCTGAATCCTTTAGGACGATTAGGAAAACTTGCTGATCGGCCTTCCTTCACCCTCAACATGTAAATATCCGGGTTGTGCCCACGCTGCAGTATTTTTCTTTATCTATGTATTTCATGTATCCATGGGAAGCAAAACTTGATATCATGTTCACGAAAACATAAAATCTACAACTACTACCATTATTAATTTTCTCCAGCGGATGAAAGCACGTGCTTTGTAGCTATTTATGACTGCACACAAGATACCGCAAACACTTCCAACACGTGTCAACCACCAAATGTTCACAACTTCACAACATTCACAACTTCGTTGTTTAATTATTATAGTTGGCATTACTGCTTCAGACTGGTGGGTACCAACATATGGTATGTTTATTTCGGCATTACTGTATTCGTTACACATATTCTTTGCATAGGAATATGAAGAATCAGGATATTAACGTCATTCGTAATAATATGACATTTTATTCAAATATATGCTCAGGCTTAAGAGTAAATGACATAAAAAAAATAGCTGTATAGGAAATATCTCCCCCCCCCCCAGTGGTAATAGGGTATTTTAGTATTAACTGTGTGGTGATCATGTTCGATGATTGGGCAGAAAGAAGGCATGTTTTGCTAACTGTACGCATACATTTTCAGTAGAAAGGATCTGTGAGAGCCAGTTGTATTTGTATGAGATTTGTGTGGAGCTTCTGCTCTGGGAAAAATACGGTCAGCTGTTCGTATCCCAAATTCCGGTGTCGTAAGAATGTGTTTGTGTAGGTTCGTGATGGAGCATAGGGATTTCTAATTGCGAAGGGTTCGTGGAGGGGTTTTATAAGTCCACATGGAAGTCAGGCGTAAGTGACCAGTACACTATTAAAAATATTCTGTAGTTGTGGTACTTTGACAACGAATAAAATGGATTCAAGAAGAATGAGTTTCAAGAATCCATTTCCCCGGCCATGGATGGAAAATTCCGGCGCCGCAGCAGCGGTAGGTGGAAGCTCCGTGGGTCTTAAAGGAATTATAGCTGGTAAGTAGTAATTTACCTGAGGTATAAACATTGTGAATTTATTTTTGAAGGGCATGGGTTTACTCGTATTTTGTGGTTGAATATGAAACTGTATCAACATGAAAGTGAAACACAGGATATTTGTGTGGGAAGGTCAAATTGGGACCAGTTTCAGCAGTATTAAAGAAAAACAAGATATATGTGGAAAACATGGGAATTTACCATCCAGTTTAAAAGTTTATGTCGTCACTAATATGTGTATTATCCATAAATGCCTTTCACATGCCATAGCAGAAGGTCATATATTTATTAAATATGATAACTACAGACTTTACAGACTTGCAAAATACAACGTTGGTTAACAGTCAAGATAGACCAGAACAACTGTTTTCAGCCTCAATTCATTAATTAGTTGTTTGTTTTCTTGTTTTTACTTAATTGAATGCTTGGTTCTGATTCAGACACATTTGAATTATTCACTTTACTGTGACATCCAGAATGGTTTTAAAATCCACCAGGCAGTAGTTTACAACCTGGTGACTGTGTCCTCTGCTAGGGAAATTACATTAAATACACACACACACACACACACACACATAGATATAGATATACAGATCAATCAATCCTCGTGAGCAGGGTGTGGAAACAAGTTAGAGTGCAATACATTCCATCACATCTCCACAAATAAGAATATCTAACTAATTCTAAATTGTAATCAGCTGTAAACAATTGTAACTATTGTAATTTTAATCTTACTCATATATTAAATTGTTAATATTCAGAATTAACTTGACTTGTCCTATATCATGTACAATGATCTACAGTGACGAAATAAATAAATCAATCAATATATTCAGAAAATCCTTAGAAATGCAGTACATCTATAGAAACATATACCAAAGATAAAATTTACAGGAAATTTATTTGAGATTGTGCCATAAATCTTTTGCTTGGTCCCATATGAGGGACAGATGCACTACTTGCATCATCTTGCCCTGCATGGATTCAGACTTGTGGCACAATCAACACATTGATAGCCTGTACACGTCAGTTTCTGTCATGTCTTGCTGCAGTACATTTTGGAATAGCTATTGTGACGCTGTCTTATGTGGTATGTGTCTTATGGACATAATCCAAAGCTTATGCTTCCTTCTCTGCGGCACTACAGCTCAGGGTGAGCTTTGGACTTCTGAACAATCTGCCTCCATTCTTCTCTATCCTTCATCTTTCCTTCCCATCTTTTCACTTTCATTTTGTGGAGATCATCATGTACATCCTCCAACCATCTCAGCTCCTTTGCTCATGTTTATTTCCATTCAATCCATCCATTCAAGGCTGATTGTCTGGGTTCTAAACAATTTAATTTTTATGGTGTGAGGTTGTTAGCCTCACACCCAACTGTATTAAACGGTCAGTAAGCCATGTTCCTTCCTGTATCAAAGCGGTGTGTGAGAGTTACACATTGAAATGATTGTTCATGTACAGTATCCAAGAAAAAGTAAGGAGAATATTCTGGCATAAATTTCAGGATGATATAGTTCCAAAAATAATATTCACACAGTCATAAATAAATTTAGAAAGACAGTTGTTACTCGCCAAAATGAACCACATCAAGAAGTTGGATGTGCATTGAAGAGAAACTGGATGAAATCAGTGCTAGGCCTGATAATTCCCCTTAAAAAAAATTTTAGATGCCACTTTGCAAGATACCAGGGTTTCAAGTTTCATGTATGCACCTTTTCCTAAAAGGAATTTGAATGTGAACATTTTTTGGATGTGTAAGGAATGCCTGCATGCCCACAGGGACTAGTTCTGGCACATGCTGTGATCCAGGTGGGGTTTTTTGAGTTATTGGCCTGTGGGCTAGTTGATTGCACTATGGGTCTGAAAATGTTTTAAGAGTTGACATGAACACCATGTTCTCCTGCCACAGGACTGACTGAAAAATTCATAGTAGGTTGTCAGATAACCTCCCTGTGCTATAATGTGCCTAATCATGTATATAATTACACTAGTAATTATTTCTTAGTAATTATACAGTGTGTTTAGAAATCCTTACAATACACTTAACATTCATTTATTAGCAAATTAGTAAACTAAATAAATTACTTTACACACTTGCCCATTAATTGTATAATGACTCTTACTCATGGAGCTGAGCCCTTCTGGAGGAGCTGCCAATTCTACAGCTACTCAAGAATTTCCCAGCATTTTATGGAACCCAAAGGTTCATTACCGTGTTCACAAGAGCCCTCCACTGGTCCCTATCCTTAGCCAGATCAATCCAATCCATAACATCCCATCCTATTTCTCTAAGATCCATTTTAATATCGTCCAACCATCTATGCCTTGGTGTATAATGATTCTGTGTACATATTTTTTTCCCATATGTAAATGTATAGGTTATTTTCCACATAGAAATCTTATATACACAGAACCAGCATTTTGTTCCAAAAACTTTTGCTGTTATTTTGGTGTTCAGTTTGAGCCTCAAGGAGACAAGAACACACTGACAGATGCAGGACTTTCACAAGTTGCAGTTATACATCAGTTGTTTGCTGTTATGTTTACTGGATACAAGATGCACTGCATAGAGTTGTATATAAACTTTACCATAAGATATATGATTACAGTCAGTCATTCCTATGTAATAGAAATTTGTGAACAGAGTAGGTAAGCTAAAGCTATCCCTGTAACAGGTTGTGGAGGCCTGTAGGGTTGTGAGACATCGAAGCTCCCACATTTTCTAGACAGTCGGCTCACAGATGGTGGTGAGGTTGTCAGCCTCATCCGCTGGCTGCTCTGTACCTTCCACGAAGATTCCTGATACTGATTTTGGTTAGAGGTTGAGTCAACCCCAGGGCCATAATGCAGTTGGAAGGATTAGGTCAATTGAAAAATCCAGTGACCTCATCAGGAATCAAACCCGTGACCTTCAAGCTTGTAGCATAGTACCTCAACCAACTGTGCTACCGTGTGCCTCCAAAGGAACAGAGTAGGTGTGAGTGAAAAGGAATTCTTTAAATGATATTTTAAATTTTCACCCTACACTTGACATTAATTTATTGTTATTATCTTCCTTAGTGTGTTGTGCAAAGCACTGTTCTGAAGAATGCTTGTTGTGAGGTAGGGCAGGGGCACTTGAGATGAGTTTATGGAGCTAAGGGGGGGGTGGCCCAAAAAGTTTGGGAGCCACTGAACTAAACTATTCAAAACAAGTGTAACATAACTTTGAATTTATGGATCTGTGGTCATTCATTTGCTTTCACATGTGCAGTTAACTACCATTTTCTCCCAATAATTCCATGAAAATGTGTACTGTTTATGTGGAGTGTTTGGAAAATTATGCAACACATCAGAAAAGAAATTGTAAATGCCTTAAAACTGGTGCATAAAGTCCAAAATAGAGATATATATGTAGCATTAGTTATTGTTCATGACTCTGCACTGGTTCTGAATTGCTTGAATGACCACAGCATGGACTAGTTGTACAAAGTACATTGCTCACATTCTGCCAACTTGGCAGATACATGGAAGAGTTACATAAAATGCTAAATGGTAGAATTTATTTCATAAGAAAGGCTATCTTTCTTGCCAAGGTCATTAAATTGTGTCATTACTGGTAATGTTGAGTCATAGAGTTGTAGGGTTGTGCACTGTGAAGGACATATTGTCATTTATCATGTTTCCTCATTGCCATTTTCATTAGCCTTACAACAGTCGAGCAGCGCAGTAAATTAAAACATCAGTTAAGACTTCTGGGAGTTTATACAGTACATGTGGGTCACAGCACTTTAAATTTTATTAAATTTGGTTGTACACTAATTTGATTCACAGTATAAATGTCTTAAAAATATAGTAATTTTGAAAGTATAATAATTATGCTTCTGGTGCCATATACAGAACATCTGACATGAATATCCATGGCCATTACAAAGAACACTATCTTTGAGGTGTTTGCCAACATTTTGGAGGAATGTACTACCTTAGTCTTTAGGGTGAAGAATAACTATCCAAGCCACATTCAGGAAATTTCTCTGGATGTAGACTGGGAAAGGAGTAAGGAGGGAAGTGGAAAGAGTAGAAGACCAAGCAGAGTCTAGGAGAAGGAAGAGATGTTTACAGGATTGACCAGTGGGAGGAGATAAAATAAACCAGGCAAATAACATGATGATTGGCTTCCCACTGAGGAAACTTGCAGTCTCCCTTGACTGGTGTATACAGCTTTGTCTCTTAGTGGCCAGGCTTTCAATGGGCAGACATGCCATTTCATTAACACCGTGGTCAAGGAGTACCATTAGTATGTAAATCAATTTGTCTAAGGCATCCATGGTGAGGCACAGCATGAACCAGAGACATAGTATCCAGCTCTAGAACACTGTTGTCCTCTCCCCCAAATTAAGATGCATGGATCACATAATCAGGGAGGTGGCTGAGATTGAGATCCATCATAAGAACATGAACAGAGAAGATGGCTTCTGCCTAAACAGGTCATGGAGACCTGTAATCTGCTTCAAGAAATATCATACGAAGCCTCCCTCACATGATTCCCTAATTTGGTTTTCCACTGGACCATGTGAGTCTGCATGCACTGCCTAAATCAATGAACCAATCCTGCCATCTCTGGGCACCTATTAACCCTAAACCTTTCCTGGCAACTTTCTGCAGTTTTTGCTCTTCTGATTCCCCCCCCCCCATTTGCCAACATGGCCACCCTTCTCTCCCTTGTTTTCCCATTTCTGTACAACCAGACCTTTTCAGGATCAGAACCAAGCTGCTTTTCTCTTACCTCCTGCTGGCTCACCCTCTTCTTGAGAGAGAGCCAGTGGGAATGGACAAGTTGGCTTCTGAGTTCCCTTCTATTTCTATACAATCCCAAGTTTTCTTTAAGCAACTTTTTCCGCTTGCTGCTTGCATCACACTGGTTTATTGCTTGGCCTACCCTTCAACCCTGAAGATGGATGTGACATATTCCTCCAAAACATCATTTGACTTTCATGGACTACATGGCTTTATATTCTGGATGTTGGAAACCTTCATAACCACTGCTGTGAAAACCTCAAATCCTACATATGACAAAGATGGACATGACATGTGCCTTCGAAACATCACTTGACTTTCAGTGGACTACAAGATGTTATGTTTTGGATGATGTAAGTTTTCATAATCACTGCTGTGAAAACCCCAAACCCTACATATGATAATTTGTTTGTACACCTTATGAAAGATAACTGATCAAACTGTATTTTTGACGGTTATTTGTAATTACCTAGGCACCCAAAGGTGTTTATTGAGTTATACTTTTATGTAATCTTATTTCTTCTACAGAGGATATATAGTACGATGGGGTACCCAAAAGAAACCAAACTAATTTTTTTGTGGGTAGAGCTTTTGTAGTACCGCGTTTTGCCGCTATGAGCGCATAGAGCTAACATTCCTGAGTCGATAAGCCGACTACCAGTGCTTCAGAAGGTAAGGACTAGTTTCGGCAGAGTTTATAGTGACAACTGTTTTGTGTGATTGTCGTTTTTGCAATGGCTGATTTTCGTGAACAGCGTGCGGCGGTGAAATTCTGCTTTTTGCTCGGGAAAAGTGGAACAGAACTCTTGAAATGTTAAAAACGGCATACAAGGACGATGCTATGGGGAAAACTCAAGTGTTCGAGTGGTTTTCCCGTTTCAAAAATGGTGAAATATCAATTGATGACAGACCTCATTCT